TACTCCTGCTGCTGCTGGTGCTGCTGCTGCTGCTGCTGGTGCTGCTGCTGCGGCTGCTGCTGCTGCTGCTGGTGCTGCTGGTGGTGGTGGTGGTGCTGCTGCTGCTGCTGCTGCTGCTGCTAGTACTACTGCTATTCCGACTACTACGACTACTATGACCACGACGACGTACCACAACAACAACAACAACAACATCAACAACAACAACTACAACTACAACTGCAACTGCAACTACAACTACAACTACAACTACAACTACAACTACAACTACAACTACAACTACAACTACAACTACAACAACTACTACTGCTACTACTGTTACTGCTACTTGCTACTGCTACTGCTACTGCTACTGCTACTGCTACTGCTACTGCTACTGCTACTGCTACTACTACTACTGCTGCTGCTGCTGCTGCTGCTGCTGCTACTGCCACCGCCACTGCCACTAGCACTGGCACTAGATGCAGCACTAGCACTAGCAGCTTTGGCATTAGCAGTAGCACTAGCACCACCACTGTCACTACCACCGGCAATAGTACTACTACGACGATGACGATGACGGCGACGACGACGAGGACGACGGCTGCTGCTGCTGCTGCTACGAGCACTGGTTCTTGTGCTCGACGACTACAAGGACGACGACGACGACTATTACCACCACCACCACCAGCAGCACCACTGCCACCACGACTACTTCTGCAAAGCCTCTTGCTGAAGCAGACTTAGATACTATGTCACGAGCCAGCGAGAACAAACCGGGAAATAAACCATGACAGTGACACAGTCCAACCGACATCTGGGTGTCCTGCGGTGCTATCGGACACTGAGTTTTCTCGAAGGAAGTCCAGGAACTGATCGAAGCTCAAACACACCTGGCACATAATCATCCAAGCATGGGTTTGTGAAGCCTTGGGGTTTGGAATCTCGGGCATTCCACGTTTAAAGTTTCGGCTTGGCAGCGGATGCACCAGAATCTAGGGCTGCGATCCGTGCCTCGTCCCACCCGGCGTCGGGAAACCCCTAAAACGAGCTCTGTGATCAAAGCAGCCACGGCTGCTTTTCCCAACTGCACCCCAAACATGTATCCGATGTATCCCAAACCCCGCTACTGAACCCCAAATCTCGAATCTGAAGAGTAAATAAACTTTAAGAGTCCAAACTTCTAGCTTAATATCTCCAGCCGAAATGCTTGCAGAGGACAGACACAGGCAATTAGGAATCCGCGAGAGGCAACAAGATTGAGTGCTTTCCGGAACGTAACTTCGTCTTTTCAGTCTACCTCTGCGGCAGGTTGCAACCCGTCAAGGCACTCGAAGCCTCCTCCGGTCGCAGCACCTGCTGCAGGGCATCTGCCAGCCTGGTCCAGGCCGCTTTTTGCACTGGTGTTTTGGGAAGCTCCCAGAACGCTTCCGGGAATCCTTGCTTTTCAACCCCGGAGATGTGTTACTTTCCCACACTGACGTTCAGGGTAAAAAGGTGTTCGTCAATGTGTCCCTCACCCACGCACGAAGGCGCTGTGGTGCAGTGTACATTTTGGGCTCAAGTCCTACTTTTTTGCACGTCTCTCGCTCTGCACAGTCCCGTGCACATCACAAAACGCTTGATGTGCCTCAAGTCCCAGCAGTCCTAGCATGCCCAGGCTATGAGAGCTCCTTGGGGTGCACAGTACATGGGCAGAATTTTGCCTTCCGCCCTGCCCTCAGCTTCATGGCACCTGGGTAGTGTTGGTGGTCCTGGTGGTCCTGGCGGTCTCGTGGTCTTGGTGGTCGCAACCCCCTGCTGGTCGCGGTCGTCCAGGTGACTCTGGTTGGTGCTCGTAGTGGTCTGGTCATGATGTTTACGGTGGTTGTCGTGGTGGTCCTGGTCGACACGATGTTTCATGGTGCTCTCGTGTTGTTGCTGTTGATGGTGGTGGATGTGGTCCTGGTGGTCCAGACGTAAACGTGGCAGTAGGAGTTCAGCGTTAATGGTACTGTTATTGATATTGATTTTATCATTATCTTTATTATTATTATTAGTAGTAGTAGTAGCAGCACTCGTCGTCGTAGTCGTAGTCGTAGTAGTTGATGATGACTCTTGTTACCACTATTATTACCAACATAAAAGAAAGCCTTTGCATGCCAAGCGGCCGTGCTGCTGCGCGCTGTTGGCAGTTCCAGCGCCGACCTCTTGACAAACACACTCCTGCCGGTTAAACGGTGAATGTGCTACCAGTGTTCGATACTCAGAAAAACACGGACGATCAGCAACGAACAACTGGTGCAGGCTCTACAAGCTGGCCTGAGATGCCGCCAGTTCCCGGACGCAATGGGCCTAGAGCAGGTGCATCGAACTGTTCACCGGCAAACGGTCACAGAAGTCCCAACTGCAGCCATGAGCTATGCAAAAATCAGCTGCCAAGATGCCAAGTGGAACAGTGACCGATTGATCAGCGTCAACTCCTGACAAACGCTGCCACTGCCCCAATAGGATCGCTCTCACATCATTCCCGAAGCTAGGTGCCTTGAACCGCTCTGTGCGACACATGGAGAGCCGTTCCTGACATCTCGTGGTACAAGTATCGAACTTTTCAAGTTCGGCACTTCGCGCTGTGACTTTGTCTGAGCCGAGTGCCTGCTCACGGCCAGCCAGATCCACCAGCATGATACTGGCGAGCGACACTAGGGGACCCTCATCAGCCAAAGTCTCTGAGATGCAACATCGTTCTACCTCCAGTTCTGAATGGCACACTGATTCCTGTTTCAATGCTTGAAGAATCCGAAGACATCTTGCGGATCCCAACCTGTTGCTGGATGTAGACCGCTCCATTCGCAGAGAAAAAATTGCATGTGACCTCGAATGCCACATGCCGACTACGCAAGACACCGGACCGCGGAGTAGGGGTCGTGTGTGTGCTTTTGCCTCTGCGTGTTTGTCTGTGTGTGAGCGTGTATGGGGTTGGTGGGAGGGAGGGCGACGGGGCGGCGCGGTTCACGTCAAGCCTCATGTTGAAAGCAGTGCACTCCGGCGTCTAGAATCTAGTTTCAAGTCTTGGCTCCAGCCTCAGAACTCTTGCCAAGTCGCCTAGACGAACGATCGTTCAGCATGGTGGCGGCAGTTGTTCTGACCTGCTCACAGCTTGCATGACAGAGCAGAATCGTGCCATCTAAATCAAAGATGTGCAGGTCTCACCACTGCATAGCACGTTTCGCCTGCAATCCGAAGCTGACGAGACGAAGCGCCTGGCGGATTAGGCACATCCGTTCCGCAAGCACCCCGAACAGGACCACGCCCAACTTAAACGATTAAGTCACTGTAGACCTTGCTCAAAACACTTCGGGGCCTCTTGCACATCGTCACACGGTACTTCCTCGACCTCAGTCTGCCGATTCTGAGATGAGCGGACCCCTTTTCAAGCATGTTCGAGTCAACTTGGTTCGTCCTGAGTGCTGGACACCCGCCACGAAAGCCCCGAAACGAGGATGAAAATGCACCTCAAAATTCGGGATGTAGTGCCGCAACCTGGCCACCTACAGTACCAACAGTACTGCAACCCGGTCACTAACTGTGGTACATTACCAAGCTTAGACTTGCAGGCAAGGGCTTCCCTTGAATGATGCGGAGCACCCCTCACAGAGAGTTTCTGAGTCTTTTGCTGTTGTCTTGCCATGCACGCGGCCGTTTCGCGGCCTGAGCATCCCAAAGAGATAATCTGCACCCGGAATCTGAGCGATATGCACAACTCAAGAGTCGACTCAAGTTCAAACAAAGCTGTATCAGCAGGCGTATGTTGAGCAGCACGAGCAGTTTTGGCAAGGCTTTCGGGTTTCAGAGCTTTGTGTCCGACGCTACTACACTAGGCTCTTGGGAGTGGACTGTCCGCCGCTGCCTCCATCCTCGCACACGCATACATGCATGCACGCACACACAGACACACACACACAGACACACACACACACGCACACACACACACACACACGCACAGACTCTCTCTCTCTCTCTCTTCCTTCCTTGCTGCCTTCCTTCCTTCCTTCCTTGAATTTGTCCTTGTCCTTTCTTCCTTTTCACACGTGTTCGGGTCGGCGCAAACCTTACTGCCAAGTGTTGTCGGTGTGAGACAAGGCAGCTCCATGGTTGAGTGACATGCACCCTGGCGCGAGCGAACCCGCAGATTACCATGACAACTACAGATAGAGTTGGGCTTTCGGACGGGACATGGAATGCTTTCCATGTCATCTTTCGATGGCATGCTTGGAGTTTCGATGCCCCGGAGTTGTTTTTCGATGTTCGGGCTTGCAGCCCGTGGTCACGCCCCTCTCAACAAGTTCCTGGTTCGCCTACAGACTTCATGAACCTTATCAGGAAGTCCTAGCGTATGCAAGGCTGACCTGTCCTTCTTTCTTTCTGAAAGGCTTGGAAGGGGGCTTCCCACTCTTTGCCCCCTGTTGCGTGCGCGTGCGCGCACGCCCTGGTCTCCGGTGTCTCGGTGTGCTTCGAAAGACGACGGGTCTCCGTACTACCAACCGCAAACCCCTATGCCCCTATGTAAACCCCAACCTGCATCCCGGCCTTGTGGTTCTCTTCCTCTAGCTGTCGGTACAGGGGCTGGCTGGCAGGTCGCAAGACAAAAACATGCACCCCGGCTTTAAGCCAGGACGGCAAGCGCCTCCCCCCAATCAAGTGTCGTGTCCCTCCTTCAGATGATACACGTGTCGGCGTTGCGACAGGACCGGAAACGCTTGGCCATGTAGGCCAAGGAATGAAAAGGCTTCCTAGCTTTTAGCCTGCTTCCCAGCATGTGCTCATGGATTGTGACCGTTTTGGTCAAAGGTGTACGGGTGCCTAACTTCAGTGGGGAGGTGCTTAGGCAACTGCAGGACTCCCGTGCAAGCTCCTTGCTTGCTTGCAGGGCGTTTGGGTTCAGGGGGGCATCCCCCGTCTCTCTGCGCTGGCACACTACGCCAGTGTTCAAACTCCCTCTCTTCTTCTTCCACACAGCCGAAGGAGCACGGACGTCCGCACCCCTCGCGCGCGAGCGCGCACTGGTTGTTCGGTTAACTCCCTCTCTCTCTCTCTCTCTCTCTCTCTTCTGTTCTCTGTTCTCCGTGGGATGGCGCACGACTGTTTTAGGGGCCTTGTGGGGGCCGTCAAGAAGATATGGATGCTCGGTTTTCGGTAAAAAGACTTCCTCTCTCTCTCTCTCTCTCTCTCCTGTCTCTTTCTTTCGCCAAGGTTGTCGACTGTTGCAGGTGCCAAAGAACGATGCGGGCAAACTCCAAAGAGGCAGTGATCGCGCAAAAAGGACGTCCACATGCAAAGGTCATAAGGTGCTAAAACTTTGTGCGACACTGCATCACTGGGTTTCAGTGCTCAAAAATGTCCTAAGGACGGGGCTCAGGTTGAGTTCACATGACATTGTAACAAGAAAGCAGCACAAGGAGAATGACTCCTTCTAAGCCTGAGTTGCAGAAATAAGGGGGTCAGATCCTGGTAAACTCAAAAATGCAATGTGCAGCATGGCACAAAGCCTCGAGAGGAGGCAAGGAGTGGTTGCGTTTGAACGGCTCCAGTGGCCCGTCTGACTACTTGGCAAAGTTTGAGATAGGGGATCTCTCTCCCTCTCTCTCTTGCGAGCAAGAGCGGTATGTTCTCAAAGTGGAATGGCTGGCGATCCTGCCAAGCAGGTGCTTCTTTCGGCGTCGCAGGTGCGAGGAGATCTCGGATCCGCTCGTTGTGGATCTGCAGGGAGCACACTTGCACAGATCTGGCATGAAAGGTTAGCATGGGGCATTGCGATGCTCTCTATGCGACAGGCGAGCCTCGTAGAAAGAGGCAACACAAACCGTATCGGGCTCCTGGGCCACGAGTCCATCTGAGACTGAGGATCACAAGCCTACGGCAGAGCTGGGAGAATGATCATCCAACCCAAGGCTTTCCTCGCTCAGCGCGTTGAAGATCGCTTCCAGAGTTCGCGGAACCAGGCCGGAGCCGAAGCCCACCTAGGAAAGAGAGGGCGACAGCTTCGGGACTCTGAAGATGCCTTAAAGGCACAGTCGGGGGCCAGCTCTCCGGAGGCTGAAGTCCCGGCATCCATGTCAAAGCTGCTGTCTGCGGGCCCCTCCCAACAGCTTGGAGTCAGAGCGGAAGCTTGGGAAGCTTTAAACCCTCAACCCTAACCCCTCAA